TGGCAGTGCTCTGCCCCACACAGCCGGGACCACTGGGGGGACACATCCCCAGCTCCTGCTCAGCCGGTGCCCGTCGGACCCCAAGGTCCATCCCTGCGGAGCTGCTTTCCAGCTGGTGGCCCAGCCTGTGCTGGCGCATTTCCCACTTGGTAACCAGGATTTCTTTCCCCTGGAAATATCCCAGGACCACGGCTGGGCTGAGGGGCAGTGCTCACGCCCCCCACCCCACATGAAGGGCCCCGGTGCCCTGGGGGAACGTTGCTCAGGGTGGCCGGTGGTTCCAGGAACCCCCGTCCTGTTGCATCGCTGCTGCGTCCCAGAGGGATGCTGGCCCTGCCCTGGAGAAGTGGCCCACCAGGGTCCAGCTTCACTGCTCTGTGCCAAGGGGCGACTGGGAAAGGACTGGAAAGGCAAGAAAGGAAACAGAAAGAGCCACCATGATTCCTTCAGTGCCCTTACTTCCAGAGCCAGGCTGGGGTTTATTTACTTGCCAAGGATGATGCTCTGCCCTGCTGGGGTTCTGCATGCGCGGGGGTCGGGGGGCACGGTTCGCCGAGCCGCGTACTGTGGGGCAGCCAGGGGCTGGCAGCCAGGGGCTGGCAGCAAAGCCTTATCTCCCCTTGTCAGGACTTCCCTAACAGCGCGGACAGGTTCCAACGCCACAGACAGTGCAGAGTTCACTCTGCAGCTGTGACATGGCTGCCATGCGCCACCCGTGACATCGCCTGAGGTGTCGCAAAGGTCTCCCAGCTGCTGTGTCACCTCCAGGCTCGCGTGGCCCTGGTCTCGTGGAAGGACAGCTCCACCCTGGAGGCTGTGTTCACCGAGCGTGGTGGGGGATGGCACTGGGGAAGTGCTCTGCTAGGGGACACCCCAGCCCCAGGAGAACCAGCCTTCAGCCACCCACCAGGCACCACAGAGCAGTCCTGCGCTGGGCTCTGCCACACTGCACTGCGCTCCTGTCCCCAGCACCCCCAGTGTGCCCGGGGCCGCCTGATGCCCAGAC